GGCGGCAGCAGCCCTGGGGCGGCCTCCCGCTCCTCCCGCACACCCCTCGCCGCCAGCCGGAGCTCGCACTCCTCCTCTGCCAGGCCAGGTGAACCCGACAGCTGAGGTGGCAGGGAAGCCTGGTGCGACAACAGGAACCGCAAACGTAAGCGGGAGTTGGGCTTCTGGCAGTTGAACGTGGTTTGCTGAGTGTGTTGCCTTGAAAAGGCAAGGTCATAGGCGAGGGAAGCTGCCAGCAGCTCCTCCGCTTGTGGAGCGACATTGCCAGCTGGGTTATGCTGCATAAAAGTCATATTTTCACAAAAGAGTCTTTAAGTGTTTATTATTTTAAAAAAAAGTAGTGAAATAATATATTATGTAAATAGCATATAAAGGCTGTGTAATCATGGATATAAAAGATGAATTCATTCACGTTGGACCTTGGCCTTAGCTTCTGTGAAATAAAGATTTTGGCCAAAGCTTACAAGTGTTTTTGTGCATTCTCTTATGCAAAATCAGATTTCATACACGTTAATCATGTACATTGACATTTTAACAATTCATTTTATGTAACTTCTATTGCCAGTTACCTTAGTGTTTGAACACTTCTACCTTTGTTACTGGAAAAAAATGTATTCTTTTAAACCCTAATTTTAAATTATATGAGAATATATTTAAATTCATATTGCATAATTTCCTAAGTATTCATAACTTCTGTAGACATAAATGAGGAAAATGGTGTACAATGAAATACTCATATACAGCCATGTATATTTACTAAAACAAATATGTACTTGATGATTGAAAATGTTGGAATTCTTGTGACAGTTAATTCAAAGATTCTGCTCTTCAAATAAGTAAAAATAAATCTTATATAATGTAATTCTTTTCAATCCGTTGTATAGAAAGACTTATTTGTATGTACTGAACTTTGTGCACTGTGAGTAATTTTACTGATTTAAATAGGATTACAAAATGAATAAAATTGGATATAAAAGTTTGTACAACTGGTTCTGTTATTTTATTGAGTTGCAGTTTTGCTAAAACTTCAGTAGCAATTACTACTGTTCTTGTTTAGTAGAACTAATAGCTTTATTTCATGTTAGCTGTGGTAGAAATGTCATCATGTAGGCTAGCACTGATTGTTGTAATTTGATACTAAATGATCAGATGGTACTGTGGCTGAGCTTAAAAAAAATAAGTAACAGTAACTGACTTTTTATTCTTTGTATAAAGTAAAATAAACTTTTGAAACAGGTATTTTAATTCTTTCATAATGGAAACTTGAGCACCTGCATTACTCTGTGCATATTAGTTGTTACAAGTTTTTTGAGTGACCTTACTCTTTCTTTAATTTCCTTTCTCTTGCCAAAATGCTAGACATACACAAGCACTAGCAACAACTCCATGTCAGGCTCCTTGAAGCGGCTGGAAGATACCACAGCTCGATTTACAAATGCAAATTTCCAGGAAGTTTCTACACACGTTTCAAGTGGAAAAGATTCTTCAGAGGCTAGAGGGTCAGAGAGCAAAGGGAAGAAATCTGCAGGTCACAGCTCAGGTCAGAGGGGAAGAAAGCCTGGTGCTGGAAGGAATCCAGGAACAACTGTGTCTGCAACTAGTCCTTTCCAGCAAGGTATTAATTGTTATGCGTTAACACTGCTACTGCTTTGATGTGAATTAGACAGAAATCTTACATATTTAAAACTTAAAGTTTTAAGTTATATTCTCAATAATGAGAAAGCTGCTTTACTTGAGAGAAAAAAAAATTTACTTTAGGGAAAAAATGTTTATTTGTCATCATAACATAAAAAAGCGCTATGCATCGTCAGAGGGCAAAACTGAATGCTTTTGTTTAAGGTATTATCTTTTAAACTACTGAAAAATCAAGTTTCTTTTATGAAAAATGGGTCTGGGCTAAAAACTCAACAAAGGAAATTTGAGTCCAGGGAGCTTTCTTTAGGTCTTGAAAGGTCTAATACTAGTGGTCTAAAATTAGTGTTATGTTAGAACAAAATTAGACTAACAACTACATAAACTTTAAAATGCGTACAAACATGCTTCACTAATTTTTCAAGATAAAGATATTAAATATACCATGTTCTTGGATGTTCTCTACTTTTAATTTTTTGTCACTGAAATACATAGGCAGAAGATGGTTACCTGACAAGTACACACAATTTCTTTACCTTATCAGGTATAAGAAGTTTGAAATTTTGAACATACTAAAAACCATTAAGTATACTGCTGGCACTTTTAAAAAAGCAAGCTGTGCTGAGAATTCTTTGTCAGGGTTAAGAAAGATAAAAATGAAAATGTCTAATTTTTAATACTGAAAATAAATACTAAAACATACTGTTTTGAAATGCAAACCAACAAATCAGACTTTCTGTAAAGTAATATGTTATTTCATAGTTTTCTCTTTGGCACGTAAAGCATGAAAGTTGGCTGTCCTTTCTGTTTTGTGGTGATGTTTTTTCTTTAAATTTTAATTGGTCTGTCATAATGCGGTGTGGACCTTTAAGCTTGTCTAGATTTTTTTTTTTTCCCCCATTTTAAATACTGAAGTGATTTTTGTTTGTTTGTTTTCCAATAAACCTTTGAAAATTGTCTTCTGGATTCCTGCATTTAAAGAAGAATCTTGCCTAATGCAGATGACAATATAGATCTTTATTATGCCCATGATTTTCTTTTAAAGCTACATTAAATTAATGTAGCTAATTTAAAACACAAAACAACAGTATTTTACAGTCTCTAAATTACTTAATCTCATTAAAATATATGTAATTTACATTATTAGTAATGGTTAATGGAGTACTGATAATAAAATATTAATTTTGTTAAAGGACTTTTTTACTGGTTTATAAAACTTATTATTTTTTTAAATCCTAGCTAATCATGCATCATATCATATTTAGGATTCCTTTCTGAAAGGAATTGTGGTTGCCAGTAGTTTATTCAGGCTTTACAAAGCTGCTGCTGCCACCCCTTCACTCCCATATAAAATTACTAAATTTCGGTGAAAGTATTGATGTTTGTACTTCCTAAGCATGCCTCATTTTCTGTCTTGCGTCTGCTAACACAGTGTTGAAATGACCACGTTCCAAATGTTACAGAAGCAATGTAATTCTATTACAATGTAATAGGATGTAAAGAAGTCTCAACGTGCCACTTTCATACAGTTTCCCCACTTCTCCTGTCCTTTTGAGAAACACCTCTTGTGTTGAACACCTCCTCAGCTAGGGTAAATTAAGTGCAATTGCTGTTCCCCTGACCTGTGTCAGACCCCTGGCTTAGGCAGAATGTTAAGGAAGATTGCAGGCATACTGTAAATGTAGTGATAGCACTTTCATGTCGGGGTAATTCTTTTCATATAAAACAGTGTGGGTTAAAGAAACTGCTCTGATTTGCAGAAGCGTTTGTGTTATGTGTTTGTTATGGCTTCAGTATTGGGGGATATCGGAAGTGTCTGAAAACAGAGTTACTAATCTCCTCTTACACGTGTTTGTTTTGTGCCCCGTACTTGGCAAGTCTGAGAATCAGATCTGGCAGAGGGAAGATCAGCAAGCCAACATAACAAAAACAATGAAAAAATTACTTCTTTACCTCTTAATAACACTTTTCATAAAGTTCGCACTTAGATTTTGTATTTTAAGATATTCATCTTTTTCTTCAGTCCTTTTGTATTTTTTATTTTTTCTTCCTCTAGGTAGCTTTTTGGGCACTCCTGGGAGCATCAAGTCATCTTCTGGGAGTTCAGTTCAGTCTCCCCAGGATTTTCTGAGTTTTACAGAAACAGATCTACGAAGTGACAGTTACGCTCATTCTCAACAGGCTTCATCAACCAAAGATGTACACAAAGGAGAGACTGGGAGTCAAGAAGGTGGTGTCAATTGTTTCAGTTCCTTAATCGGTCTCCCTTCAGCTGTTTCCCAATCTAAAAATTTTGACAACTCGCCTGGAGACTTAGGTAATTCATGCCTTACTTCTACAGCATACAAACGAGCTCAAACTTCTGGAATAGAAGAAGAAACCGTAACAGAGAAGAAACGGAAAGGAAATAAACAAAATAAACATGGGCCTGGTAGACCCAAAGGAAATAAAAGTCAAGAAAGTATTTCCCATCTTTCAGTTTCTTCTGCTTCCCCAACTTCATCTGTGGCGTCTGCTGCAGGAAGTGTGACAAGCTCTGGTCTTCAAAAATCTCCAACTTTGCTCAGGAATGGAAGTTTACAAAGTCTTAGCGTTGGCTCATCTCCAGTGGGTTCAGGTAGGCGTGCATTGGATTTGTTTTCTTCTCTCAAAAGATGTCTTTGTTATTTTAGCCTCAATTTGGAGTATGCTTTTCAGGAACAGAGTATCACTTTAAGTATCTCGAAAGCTGCTTTAGAAGAAAAGCCAAAAGCAGAATATAACTGTTGTAAGAACAAGCTCAGTTCCAAATATAGGTGCAAGTAGTCTGTAGGTGGCTGTAACAGATTGAATCTATGTTCAATGTAAATGCAGCTTTTGAGGCTGTAGGTAAAAAGATATACCTTATGTGAAAACACTGTTGTTTGGAAATGGTTTGGCTAAAGTAAGTAGTTTATACAAGCTGGAGAGTCTGTATGTTGTGTTACATATGGAGAACAAAATCAGTACTCAAGCAAGTCAGCTGCTGGAATTACTGAATATATCCCTCAATTATTTTTTTATACTTCAATTAATTAAAAATCAGTATAGAGAAAATATTTGTCTAAACACATCAGAGGATATTTTGAATCTGGACCCCTCTGCAGCTGGATGATGATTTTCATATTCTTGTGTGCTTTTAAGCAATTGAAATTGGCTGGTTTGTTCTTCCTCTGTTCTGAACGTGCAATTTGGGCAGCGAGAGGCTTTCTGTTTTCAGTAAACATGTTTGTGGAGGAATGGTCCTGCAGAATGCTATCAAAGTCTGTCAGTCTTCTACGCTTTAAAACTTCCTTCAAGCTCTTTTTGTGTTTGGATATAAAAATAATATGCAAACTATTTAATAACTGTTTGGCATAAATTTGGGATTTTGTCATTTTAATTGTTCTAGTGGATTTTTTGTTTCATTTTTCTTTTTTGAGGGGGAAGGAGAAGTAGAACTTGAATTTTGGTTGTTGGCAGGGTTTTATGCTTTTATATTATGTATTTGCACTGTATTCCAGGTGTTTAGCAATATGTACTTCAGGAAATGTTATATAATTCAACAAATAGAAACTCTGTATATTTCTTTCAAAACAAGGCATGTACTTCAAAACTGCACCTGATCTCAGAAATTCATTGTTTAACAAAGATTTAGAATATAGGTAAATCTCTGATTTTTATTAAGGGGAAATAACAGCAGAAGCAGTGGACGCTCTAGATTCAGAAGATTTGTGCTCCATTGAAATCAATAGGGAGAAATGGTATCAGAAGATGGACGGGGAACTAGGACCTTTTATGTCAGTTAAAAAATACTGTTTTAAAAACATGTTACCTTGTATTTCTTATGCTGTCCTAAAGCTGTTGGATGATATTCTGAATCTTTCAGTGTAAACTGTCTCATCCCAATATGATTCCTTTGATTTGGATTATGTTTTGTCATAGTTAGTGGATGGAAATACAAGATCTTTGTTTGAAGTAAATGACCCATGTTTCCCCCTTTGTTTGTCTTTGAACATTCTGGTCTTGTCAGCGCTGAGACCAGACCACTTCCTAGCCTCTTCCATCCCTGCTTCCTCATCTTTATTAGATCTCACTCTTCCATCTATAAAAGGCTCGTGATGATGTTGATCATCCTTCTAAAAAGCTTTGAAATACATGGGTGGAGACACCATGTAAGTTTTTTGGGTTTTTTTTTTTTGCCTTTTTATTACCTTTATCGCAATATTCGGCCTGCGACTTCAACTCTCTATTTAGAAGGTGCTTGGAAATCTATTTAGATTCCTGCGGCCCAGCGTTCGACCTGTCCTCTAAAACTGTCGTCATCTGTGGTGCTGAAGAATTAATTAATTAAAGTACAAATCAGAAGTCCTTACCTTTGAGTATGAGATCTAAATTCATTCACAAACTTCTGTTTGAGTCTGGGCGTTTTGTTTTAACATTCTTTCTTCCCAATTATCCTTCTTTGTTATGGTTGTAGTGCTTCTTTCCTCACTTCTTCATATGCATGTTTTGGGTATAACAGTGAGTTTACTATTTGAGCACTTGAATGTTACAGTGAGGCAAAGCATATGAGTATTATCAGTATTCCAGAAGCATATAACCACATATTTTTCTCAGGTTGATATGTGAATTTTTCTCCTCCTTTGAAATGGTCTGTCTGTTGTCCAGTAACAGAATAAGACAAGTGAATCTAAACTGTTTCACTCAAAACTCTAAATAAGATTTTGTGCATGTAAACGTAGTGAGAGAAAGTACAGAGGAAATCAAAGCATGAAGTTTTTACTGACTCTCCTTTGAGGCACTTTTTCAGGACGTGACTGGTCCTTGAGAATCAACTCCTCAGGGTTTTTTTTTTTTTTAATCCCTTTTGAATTGTAATTACCTTAAAGAAACTGTGACTCTTTCCATTCCCTTAAAAGTCTGTTTGCTGAAATCCATTAAAACTCTGAAGATTTTTATTTTGCAGTTGTGTAATGTTCCTATTCATAGTTGGTCTTCAAATTAGATGATGTACAAAGGAAAGCTTATTTAAAAAAAAAAAAAAAAAGAAATGCAACTTCATTGTGGAAGTATTTCTCCTCTCCAGATGTTTTTTCCACTACATAGAACTTCTATTTTCCTGCTCAGTAAGATCAGAGATGTACCATAAATAGTAGTAGACCATGCAATTAAAGTTCTTCAGCATTTTTTCTGAAATGTGTTTCTAATGCAGTGGGAAAACACTACATGCGTTACTTTACATTGTGACAGTGCACTCATAGGAGTGAAAAGTAGTATTTTTAAAAATGTTGGTAGGATGAAAAGGAATTTTTATACTAAATTAACATTTTTATGGGACCTCTCTTTCTGTAAATAAGCTGCTATTGGCTGAAGTAGCTGTATTTTTACAACCTATACGTATTTTTCTGGTGAAAGTCCACAAGTACTGTAAATCTGTTGTGTAGTGGTATGCAAGTCAGCTGTCGATGGGAGTTCTGTAAAGGTGATGCTGGTTTCCTCCAAATGGATTTTGCCTGTTTGCCATGTACTAGAAAGTGTGACTGTTCTGCATCCTGAAATCACTCCAATAATATTCTAATAGGGGAAGGTTTCATCTGAACTCTACAATTGTTACAGAGGATACTTAACTTTTTAAAAGTCATGATAACTGTGTTCAGAGTTAAGTTCCTTCTCAGCGTCCTTAAAGACTTGTAGCCTGAAGCATCGTAAAGCAGTGATCCGTTCTGCTCAAGGTTTCTTCTTTTCGCGACAATGGTGATTAAAGAACAGTAGACAGCCTTAATTCAAGGACTGAAAGAGATGAGTAGCACCATGTCCTATAGCTGACCTGTGCTAGTAGTAGTTCTCAGGATTAGCTCTCTACCATACTTATTCTTTATTTCAGTTGCAGAGCAGGGACTGAAAGGGTGGTAAGGAGAAGAAAAATCCAGTTATGATAAATAGTTTTCAATAAATACTGTATCTTTCTATCAATCAGTTTATGCAGGTTTTGGACATTGTTTGTTTAGGTTATGCTCCAGTGAGTGAAGAACTTCATGAGAACTTGTGTCCCAAAGCAATAGGAAAAAAAATCCGTTTTGTGTGACATCCATAACAGTGCCTTCTGACTGCTGTGAAGTAATGTAGCAAGGTAAAATGAAAAACACTTAAGTGTCAGAAGTAAACTGAAATTTCTGTTTCACAGTAGCTAAAGTTCCTGGACAGTTTTCTTCAAGTTCTATGTGGACACTTGCTACTGAAGAATTAAAGTGCTTCAAATATAAAGGAACACTTCTCTGTCTTTTCCAGTTCAGTTCTTGATGCCAAGTATACAACAAATTGTGTAGTACAACTTCATTTGCTTAGGGCCTTCAAGGGATCATCTGCCTCAGTATTTTAATTTTTTGCATGGTTTGTTTTAACCCCCTGTGAGTATTTTAAATGTTACAAGAATCTTTTAAAGCAAAAATCCTCTCCTCACCCCAAGTCTGGAAGCTTCTGAATGGGGCCTAAGTGGTTAACAGGTGGTAGCCCATACTTTCAAAACCTTTTCTTTGCCCTTTTTCTGGAATCCCTTTCATAAGTTACAGCTGAGGCAACTTATCATTTGGTTTGGTACATTTTATTTGCGCGTTATACTTGTTCTCCTCTCAATTAGTCTTCAGAATGCTCTGGCTGATAATACGAGACATTTTTAGAAGTAAAGGACATAACCAAACCCAGTCTTCTGCTTTTGTGTATTCATATATCAAACCCTATCTTAAAAACAGTTAATGTTTTTGGCACAGAGACTCCCCTAGGTTGATATTTTGCCTTGCCGAGTCAGAAATTTCCAGCGTTGCAACAGGAGCTCGCTAAATGTTTGAACTTAGTCCGTTCTCATCTGGTTCAGACAGTGATGAAGTCTCTGCCAAGTGCTGTGCTCCTGTGCAAGGAGAAATCTTGCTGATCAGCTTGTCAGCTGATGGTACAAGAGAATGCTGAGCTGCTAAGTAGATCAGTAACTTGAAATCGTGCTCCTTGAGATTTTGAGTCCTTCAGAGCTCATGTTAAATCTTGGATTATGACATTATGTTTGAACTCCCCTGTGGCCTTTGATTTACTTGCAAGGTAAATCTACTGGGAGAAAGAAATTAGTCAGAAATATTCTGAAACAGTTTGTGTTATTATGTTTATCTGTTTGGTGCCCCAGAAGCTGAAGCAGGAAAAGAAGTCTTGCTGTGCTTAAAAAGCCAATTTGTATTCCAGGGGAGATGGAATGGAAAGGAGAAAATGATACTAAGAGATATTAATGACCTTCTAGGACAAAGTAAACTCTGTAGAAAACAAACGAGGCAAAATTCTTGTCCAGAAGAACTTTTTCAAGTTTTTTGGCTCAACAGCAATAGTGTTGGTCCATTACTAGATAAAAATGTTAACATTGATTTGGTCGTGTGGAAAACATGGCAGTGTTTATCAAATATTTGAGAATAAATTAAATGGGGTAGTAGATGCTTATGAAGCATCATGAAATATTATCATGAAATAGGTTCCTCCCACACCCTGATTATTAACTGAAACAGGTGTTATCAGCAGTTACGGCTAGAAATAGTAAATTGGCATTTCCTGATAAGGAGTTCCTCACATTCTAATGCTTTT